TTTTTTGGCAATATGAATATCAAATTGCATTTTTATCAAAAGATGATTAATTTGATATATTATATATCAAAAGTTGATAAAAAAAAATAAAAGAAAATATATATAGTAAGATTAAAAAAGGTTTACATTTAAGCTACTCAACTATATTCTTGTAATGGTGAAAGTTCTAAATATTTAGATCTATATGAACCACTTTTTAAGTACCATAAATTGACACATTGAGTGATATGTAGAACACCATAAATTGAACATAAAATTAAGAATAAAAATTTAGATCTATATGAACTATTTTTAAAGTATCATAAATTGACATATAGAATGACAAAACACCCGTAATTGGCATATAAAATTACGTAACACCAAAAGTTAATGCATCAGCGCCTGAAAATACTTTACTTATATGTAGGAAGGATTTTATAAAAATAGATATTAAATTAGTTTTATTTAACTGTTGTGGTATTTGTTGTTTCAACTAACTTAAAAATATTTTTATTTAATATTGTTTAGTCAGTTAATTATATTTAGAAAACAACAAATGAAGTAAAATAATACTTTCTCCAACTTCATTTCTTCCCATTAGAAACTATTTAGATCATATATGTTATATATATCAATGTTAAAGTGACCATCGGTAATATGTAGCATCAATATAGCTAACCTTTCTAATTAACTTCCGCTCACTATTGGATAATATTATAAGCATAAACGTATCTAACATGTATTAAGAAATTAAATGGCAGTTATCTAAGTTTAGATAACTTAAATAACATTAATGCATGTGGCCAAACTACTATTAAGATGACGATGTTGCTGGCGCACATGTTGTGTTAAGCATTGACTTTTATTTATATTTTTTTCTTAGCAATTTTGTGAATGGGAGATGTATACAAATTACTGTACTATACTAATATAATGTATGTCAATTATTTTTTTAATATAATTAATTAAGCAATTAAAATAGAAAAGTTCGATGTTATTTGAAATCGTTGCTTCTTCGGTAGTTTTTATATGGTGATTGATTAATGTTGTACGTACTTACATAGTTTTAGATGTATGTTTTATTTACAGATTAAAAATAAGTGAACTTCACGTGGAATTTTGTTGATCATGATCTGGATTCAGGTTAACTATTCCATCGGAATTTTTAATCAACAATAATGTTTTAATTTCTAACAACATGCCAATATTTGATATATATATATATATATATATATATATATATAATATTTGTGTTTTCAAGTGCTTTTGGCCTCAGCTCAACACAAATAGAGTTGATTTCAATAATTTTGTATTATTTGATATACTTGTACTTTATGTGTAGATTGAATATATAAATTAAATACATTCATTACCTCAGTTATAGTGATCAATTATTAGAACGGCGCATATTAAATTTTTTATGAGCGTTCATAAAAATATTAGTGAATAGTGAGTGGCATTTTAATTTTATCACAAATTTTGTATGAGGAGGACTACCGTTAAGAGGGTCAATTCGCTATTTTTATGCTATGAAATATTATTTTTTTTGTTTATATTATTTTTTAGAATATAAAATTTCACTTTAACAGTATGAATATATATATCGAAAAAATATAAATGTCCAACCATGAGGTTTGCCTAGCCTTAATGCAATTTTATTTATCAATAAAATCTTGCAATCTCAAATTTCCCACAAGCTGTTCATCAAATGTAATGTAATCAAAACTAAAATATCACCACGCATTACTTTGCTGCATAATTAGTAAATTAAAATGTATTACTAACATATTGATAACATTTAGATGAATTGTACCGTATAATACACTGTTTAAATAATTGCGAAAGTAATTTTAATTTCATTCCTAATTTACGTTAGTGCAACTAATTTTAATTTCATTCCTAAATTTATAGAATTAACAATCGTGTATAATTAAAAAAAAAAAGAAATTAATGACATAAAAATTTCACTTAAAATCTTATTATAATAAGCTCCTCTACAAAAGTATAAGGATTTCNAGCTTTTTGACCATGTTAAATGACAAAGGTATGTATTGGTAACAACACTCGATTGTACAATTTTTTATCATATACTTGTTTTTGAAATAAAATTGGCATCTAAATAATTTATATAAACTCGCTACGCTCGCGGAGCTCCGCTCGCAGGCATCGGTCTGCCTCCTTCTTTTTGTCAATATATGAGCCATATCAACAATCATCATAATCCCTCAAATACCAAAAAGCAAATAATACCACAACCTACTAAGCGACTAGATAATATAATCCAATTAATATTACAATATACTACTTATATTTAAGGTGTATCAATTAATTAGTTACAGCTACTTTACTCTCAGTAACTATGTATCTTTTTCCTTTCCAATTTTGGTTCCTATTTTTCTCAAGTATCAATCTAAAAGAAGTTCAAGAAAAAGTGAATTCAACAAGTCACATGTGACTGTGAGGGACATAAGTGATCTAGAAACTCACATGATCATATGCAATCTCTATCTTTTGCTACTTAACCTTTTTTTTTTTTTTAAAAAAA